ATATGGTCAGCAGAGACTGAGCTCAGTTTGAGTCTTTAAATTATTGAATATTACTCTTTCACTGAAGAGCTCATAGATAATTTATCAATGGCACAGAGGAATATATGCTGAATTTCATAATTTTCCCAAAATATACCTCGAACTTTGACTACCTTTAAAAAAAAACACCCTGCTTATACTGCACTGTAGAGGAGTGTTTGTATATATGCAAGTGTATACCCCATACATATATATATACCTTTTCCCTTCTTTTGTATTTTTGCAGAAGTAACGGTTCATCATAAATACGGTCTGCCTGTGATAACACTTACATTACCGTCAAGAAAAGAACGTTGCCAGTTTACCATCAAGCCAATGCTAACAACTGTGGGCACCTTCTTACAAGACATAAAGAAAGAAGATAATGCAATTGAAAAGGTAGAAGTCTTCACAGCAGGTACTAATGCTGGTATCACTTTGAAAATCAAGGTTTTTCCAACTTTCCCCAGGTATTGCAAAATCCAGGACACCTTATTAAAATCTGCCAACGTTACATTCTTTAAATCCCAGGTCTGTATCTGCTTCAACCCTCACTGTTTGCTGCTTCACTTTCTTTCAATTTTTCATCCTTTCACTGGCTCACCACCAGGGGAAAAAAGGGGATGCATGAAATAAATGGGAGCTCTGAATAAGAGTGGAAGGAAGTCTACAGGGGGAACAAAACTCATAGTTAGGAAAATGTGCGGTTAATGTTAGATGAACAATTCAACTTATGCTATAGTTATAATAATAGACCGCTTACTATAGTGTTTATTCCAGAACATTTGTTAAGCAGGAAAATACATTTAAACGTTAGCAATTTATCCTGAAGAGATTAACTAGAATTCATATGCAGTTATTATTGATGTAAATTTGTTTCATTTTTCTTTTTATAGTTAAATGAGACAAATGCTTGCTGTCAAAACAAAGTTAAAATATTTCATGACCCCACATATTTAGTTTTTATTTCTTTTTAAATAGGTTCAGTCAAGTTTCATCCACTGTAGGTTGGATAGAATAGAGATTTGCTTAAAAAAAAAAAAAAAAAAGGGAAAAAAGGTCTACGACTTCAGTCTTCAAGACCCCAACTTGAGTCCAAATGTCCTAATTCCAGGCAGAAAATGCTAATACACATTTGCACATTTGCTAGTGCAAATGGTCCAGAGAACAGGCAGTTTTCAGATCAGTACAGAATAGTCTTCAACTTACAGTCACAACTGGGACTGGAAAATTTGTTAAGTGGTGCAGTCATTGAACAAGATATCACGTGACCATAACTTGTGATCTTCTCTGCTTCCTTCCCCATTGGTATTGCTTGCTAAAAGCTGTCTCTGAAGGTTGCAGATGGCCATCATGTAACCCCAGGACACTGCAACCATCATAAATGTGAACTAGTTACCAAGCACCCAGTTCATAATCATATGACTCTGGGATGCTACCAAAGTCATAAATATAAGGACCAGTTGTAGGTCACTTTCTCAGCACTGTTGTAACTTTAAGCGGACACTAAATGAATGGTTGCAAGTTGAGGACTACCTATGTTAACATGTTTGTTCAAAGCTTTCTTGAGTTAATATAAAAACAGAGCACTTAACATTGAATTTTTAGGGATGCAAGTCTTACTCTGTAGTGGAGTGCACATTTATAGAAGTATGCAAAAAGTTCCAAGCTTGAAACAAAATACTTCCATTCCCTGTTTGAGCTTCAAATAAAGCAGAGGTGTTTTGTCCCTAAGCACACACTGGTGGGGCATGTGTAAGATCAAAAGACAAATTCCAGTGTAGGCACACTTCTGTATTATAGGTTCTTCAGTTGTGTAGCTCCTCCTTAGACTCTATCCACGTACTTACTGGCTACTTGAATAGCAATTAGTCATTAGTTAATCATCCAAAACAATTAGACATGTGTCTTTTGGATACCTGCATCTAGGGACTCGTGGCTGAAAACATACCTGCACTTATTCTCTGCAAAACATTTTTGAGCAGAAAAAAAATGCTATGCTAAATCGAATTCTGTCTCTGTTTAGAGAAGTCCTTGAATAAACTAGGAGAATTTAGATTCTGAAGATAGTAGAGATTTGGCAGACCAACTTCACATTGACATTTGTGCACTAAGACCAATTGGTGGAAAACAAACCTTTGTGCTTGCTAGCCTGTATTGTCCAAGGTGAAGCAAAACATCATTACCAATTACAGTCTCTTGGTAGAGAGAATTCTAGATGAAACTCTGAAATATCCATGAAAGGAGCCGGAAGCACCTTGGTAGGTGCTTTCTGCACAGATGTAATAATAGCCAGAAGAAAGTGAGACACTGAATCTCCTATTTTAAGCAGCTGGTATTTAGGCTTACTAAACCTTTTGGGATTGCCCCCTATTATGTCTCTTGCCCATGTTGTTCATCTGCATTGAACAAGAAAGTGTTCTCCAGGGTAGGTGGCATGTTGATGAGTCTTGTGCACGCTTGGATACGGATTTTACAGAGCAACTTATCTTCTTCAAAAAAAGCTTCCCTTGATGCAATCCCCTGACTTGTTTTAGAAGGCTAGCCTCTTATCTCACCTTCCAGACCACTGGCACCCATTACTCACATGCATCTAATGAAAGGCAAGACCTCTAACGTTATCTGCTTGGTTATAAGTAGAATCACTGACTCGTCTGAAGCACGCTGGGTTGATTCATCAGCTCATATCATTTGAATGATGGGATTGGAGCACTCACTACTGTACCACTTGCATCACAGTGGAATAAACTTTCTCCATAGTCTCACTCTGATGGTTCTTGGATTACAGACATCACATGCTGCATTCTCTACATGAAAGCAGTTCTAGCCAGCAGACCACAGCCCCCGTGGAGGAAGATTCAAGTTTTATGCCATTGGGATATCATCAATTCACGACATGTCAAGTGAGGGACTTTTATTCCAAGTCATTTCCATATTATGCGGACCCATGAATTACTTCGCATGCGTGTCTCACATACAGTGTCAGATATCTCCAGTTAAAAGATCAAATTGCAAGTGATCGGAAAAGGACTCCTAATAGGCAGTCACTTGCACTGAGAAACTCAAAAATAAAATTAAAAAATGGTCTAGATGGACAATGAGTCTACGTTTGTAAGTTTCCTATGTTTAAAATGTTGAGTGAAGTTCAGTGTCCATAACCATTTTCAATATTCCTTTTATGATACTAGTAAGCAAGAAAGATCTGAATGCATTAAAAAAATCTGTAGGGTATTATTTTTGTTTGCTTTTCCAAATATTTCTTTCTTATCCTTCAAGACTGTCTGAAAAAAACCCTCTATTGTTGGGCTTTCTCCCTTAACCAATTTTCAGTTCTGTAGCATCCATTGAAATTAATTATTATTATTATTATTATTATTATTATTATTATTATTATTATTATTATTAATTGCATTTATATCCCGCCCTTCTCCTTTCGGACTCAGGGCGGCTGACAGATTAGATAAAAAGCTAACATAAATACATATTACACCTAATTAAAAATTTAATTAAAACGAAATATTTGAAAGTGTCCAATTAAAAGTAATTAANCGGAATTGAACTCATTTGACTCCTTACACTTAAAATGAGTTCCTTCCAAACACCTTTCTGTGAAAAATTAGTTATCTGAGAATATGGAGCTTCTGTTCTAGTACAGTTGTTTTCCAGAAGGTTATTTCAGATTTTTACTTGATTAATTTGAATATTCCAGGCATTCATCAGTATTTCCTACCTTAGTCACTCAAGATGTATTGGGCTACAACTCTCATTGGCCTTTTGAGCATTGTCCCTGAAATCCAATACTGTTATAATGGCCCAACTTGAAAAGTAATTTTTTCCTAGGTAGGCCTTGATATTTTTTTTTGTAATGTCTAAAATTTGCTGTACATCATGAGCCTGGAATTTTGGTCGTAAGTCATGGCAGTCATTAAACAGATCACCATGTGACCATGCCTGATTTTACACTTTATTCAGTGGTTCTGGCTTACACCAGAAGTCCCCAACCTTTGGGGCACTAGGGACCAGTTACATGGAGAGAGGTTTTTCCACAGACCGGAGGGGGCGTAGTTTTGTGTGCTGCCTGCGGATGGGGCTTTCCTTGTTTGTGCGGCCCAGTTGCTGGCATGCTGCGGCCTGGTACTGGTCCATGGACCAGGGGTTGGGGACACTATACAACGTCTTTGTTAAATGAACCTGTTTTCTTCAGTGGAGTTTTTTTTTCCAGAATCTGGAAGCAAATGCCAGAAACCAGAAAAAAATGCTGAAAATTGCAATCACATGACCATGGTCATAAATAGCAATAGCACTTAGACTTATATACCGCTTCACAGTGCTTTATATCCCTCTCTAAGTGGTTTACAAAGGTCAGCCTATTGCCCCCAACAGTCTGGGTTTACCAACTTTACCAACCTCGGAAGGATGGAAGGCTGTGTCAACCCTGAGCCGGTGAAACTGCCAAAGTAGCCTGTAGCCTGCAATTCTGCATTCTAACCACTGTGCCACCATGCAGTGAGTCAGTTACCAAGTCCCCAAAATGCAATCACATGACTGCAGGGAGGTACAACTGTTGGAACTTCAGAACTGGGTTGTAAGTAGCTCTGGGGGAGGTCTATTGTAATTTTGAATTGTTGCTAAGTGAGGAATACCTATATCCTATTTGACAGCGTAGAATAATGGAGAAAAATTTGTTCCGACATAATGCACATTTTATCATTGCTTTCACCATCACAGTTTACACTGGCTGCCTTTGTTTATGACCTTAAATCCTCTTTGTTGCTAAATAAGATCTGTGTTGCCTGTGTTAGTTTAATGTTATATTTTGCACATCACTTCCTAGAATGTTTTCTTTCATATTACTTTTCAGAAATCTTTATAATTTAATGCGTTAATGTGGCACAAGATGTTTGACTTTCATCTTGTAGCATGGCTGATTACCACAACCACCCCCTTTCTTTAATGAAACCTAGCTATAAAATGGGATTTCAATAGATGTCTGGTCTTCAATAGATGTCTGAACCATATAGTGGATTCCATGGGAGAAAACAGAATGATTGGGAAAGTATTCAGTTGAACACAATGATAATCTGAATCACTCTTCTTTGCCAGATGCTGTGTGTGAGAGGAACTGGAAATTTGAGGCACCACAGAAGAGCCCTCTATAGCACTTTAGTGCCACCTGATGGTATGGTTTCTAAGTAATTGCTATCTCCATTTCAAATATCCCAATAGTATCAATTTCAAGGTGCGTATCCCCACATATTCCTGTTTTATTTTAGGCAGTTTGAATCCTGCAGAGTTTATGTTGGCTCTGAAATATTCACTGCTTTCTGGAATAACATTCTTATACCCTCCTCATCTTTCATGAGAGGCTTATACCTTTTTACACACAGGTATGAATATCTCTTGACTAAAATGAATAGTTTATGGTGCTGTAATCCGAGGTTTGTAAGCTTGTATGGCAAAAACTAATACTGCCTTGAGACTAATAGTTTAATTAGTCTGGCAGGTTCTGCCTCTTTCAAATCCTAGGTCTGTTTAGAGTCCATTATACCCTAGCATGAAGGTCTAACTGCAACATAAATTCTAACTAGGATAAAATTCAATCTCCTATCCATCCACAGATACCTTTTTCATGCAAGCACTATGGTGTACAGCTTGAACGTTCATGTTCCATATCCTCGTAATTAGATCTATTTATATCTATATACTTCCAGAATGATGTCATTACTAGTGACTACATCCATGCCATATGGCAACACTTAGCCAAAAGAAAGTCAAGCTAAAAGTCAGATTTGTTTAGTACTTGGATGGAAGGCTACCAGGCGGTAAGATAGACTAGGAAGTTGAAAAATTATTGTGAAAGAAAGCACTAGCAAAATATTTCCATATTGTTGCCAAGAAAACTACATGATGCATCATATGGTCAGCAGAGACTGAGCTCAGTTTGAGTCTTTAAATTATTGAATATTACTCTTTCACTGAAGAGCTCATAGATAATTTATCAATGGCACAGAGGAATATATGCTGAATTTCATAATTTTCCCAAAATATACCTCAAACTTTGACTACCTTTAAAAAAAAACCCTGCTTATACTGCACTGTAGAGGAGTGTTTGTATATATGCAAGTGTATACCCCATACATATACATATACATTTTCCCTTTTGTATTTTTGCAGAAGTAACCGTTCATCATAAATATGGTCTGCCTGTGATAACACTTACATTACCGTCAAGAAAAGAACGTTGCCAGTTTACCATCAAGCCAATGCTAACAACTGTGGGCACCTTCTTACAGGACATAAAGAAAGAAGATAATGCAATTGAAAAGGTAGAAGTCTTCACAGCAGGTACTAATGCTGGTATCACTTTGAAAATCAAGGTTTTTCCAATTTTCCCTAGGTATTGCAAAATCCAGGACACCTTATTAAAATCTGCCAACGTTACATTCTTTAAATCCCAGGTCTGTATCTGCTTCAACCCTCACTGTTTGCTGCTTCACTTTCTTTCAATTTTTCATCCTTTCACTGGCTCACCACCAGGGGAAAAAAGGGGATGCATGAAATAAATGGGAGCTGTGAATAAGAGTGGAAGGAAGTCTACAGGGGGAACAAAACTCATAGTTAGGAAAATGTGCGGTTAATGTTAGATGAACAATTCAACTTATGCTATAGTTATAATAATAGACCGCTTACTATAGTGTTTATTCCAGAACATTTGTTAAGCAGGAAAATATATTTAAACGTTAGCAATTTATCCTGAAGAGATTAAGTAGAATTCATATGCAGTTATTATTGATGTAAATTTGTTTCATTTTTCTTTTTATAGTTAAATGAGACAAATGCTTGCTGTCAAAACAAAGTTAAAATATTTCATGACCCCACATATTTAGTTTTAATTTCTTTTTAAATAGGTTCAGTCAAGTTTCATCCACTGTAGGTTGGATAGAATAGAGATTTGCTAAAAAAAAAAAAAAGGTCTACGAGTTCAGTCTTCAAGACCCCAACTTGAGTCCAAATGTCCTAATTCCAGGCAGAAAATGCTAATACACATTTGCACATTTGCTAGTGCAAATGGTCCAGAGAACAGGCAGTTTTCAAATCAGTACAGAATAGTCTTCAACTTACAGTCACAACTGGGACTGGAAAATTTGTTAAGTGGTGCAGTCATTGAACAAGATATCACGTGACCATAACTTGTGATCTTCTCTGCTTCCTTCCCCATTGGTATTGCTTGCTAAAAGCTGTCTCTGAAGGTTGCAGATGGCCATCATGTAACCCCAGGACACTGCAACCATCATAAATGTGAACTGGTTACCAAGCACCCAGTTCATAATCATATGACTGTGGGATGCTACCAAAGTCATAAATATAAGGACCAGTTGTAGGTCACTTTCTCAGCACTGTTGTAACTTTAAGCGGTCACTAAATGAATGGTTGCAAGTTGAGGACTACCTATGTTAACATGTTTGTTCAAAGCTTTCTTGAGTTAATATAAAAACAGAGCACTTAACACATTTTTAGGGATGCAAGTCTTACTCTGTAGTGGAGTGCACATTTATAGAAGTATGTAAAAAGTTCCAAGCTTGAAACAAAATACTTCCATTCCATGTTTGTGCTTCAAATAAAGCAGAGGTGTTTTGTCCCTAAGCACACACTGGTGGGGCACGTGTAACATCAAAAGACAAATTCCAGTGTAGGCACACTTCTATACTATAGGTTTTTCAGTTGTGTAGCTCCTCCTTAGACTCTATCCATGTACTTACTGGCTACTTGAATAGCAATTAGTCATTAGTTAATCATCCAAAACCATTAGACATGTGTCTTTTGGATACCTGCATCTAGGGACTCGTGGCTGAAAACATACCTGCACTTATTCTCTGCAAAACATTTTTGAGCAGAAAAAAAATGCTATGCTAAATCGAATTCTGTCTCTGTTTAGAGAAGTCCTTGAATAAACTGTAGGAGAATTTAAATTCTGAAGATAGTAGAGATTTGGCAGACCAACTTCACATTGACATTTGTGCACTAAGACCAATTGGTGGCAAGCAAACCTTTGTGCTTGCTAACCTGTATTGTCCAAGGTGAAGCAAAACATCATTACCAATTACAGTCTCTTGGTAGAGAGAATTCTAGATGAAAGTCTGAAATATCCATGAAAGGAGCCGGAAGCACCTTGGTAGGTGCTTTCTGCACAGATGTAATAATAGCCAGAAGAAAGTGAGACTGTGAATCTCCTATTTTAAGCAGCTGGTATTTAGGCTTACTAAACCTTTTGGGATTGCCCCCTATTATGTCTCTTGCCCATGTTGTTCATCTGCATTGAACAAGAAAATGTTCTCCAGGGTAGGTGGCATGTTGATGAGTCTTGTGCACGCTTGGATACGGATTTTACAGAGCAACTTATCTTCTTCAAAAAAAAAGCTTCCCTTGATGCAATCCCCCGACTTGTTTTAGAAGGCTAGCCTCTTATCTCACCTTCCAGACCACTGGCACCCATTACTCACATACATCTAATGAAAGGCAAGACCCCTAACGTTATCTGCTTGGTTACAAGCAGAATCACTGACTCGTCTGAAGCATGCTGGGTTGATTCATCAGCTCATATCATTTGAATGATGGGATTGGAGCACTCAGTACTGTACCACTTGCATCACAGTGGAATAAACTTTCTCCATAGTCTCACTCTGATGGTTCTTGGATTACAGACATCACATGCTGCATTCTCTCTACATGAAAGCAGTTCTAGCCAGCAGACCACAGCCCCAGTGGAGGAAGATTCAAGTTTTATGCCATTGGGATATCATCAATTCACGACATGTCAAGTGAGGGACTTTTATTCCAAGCCGTTTCCATATTATGCGGACCCATGAATTACTTCGCATGCGTGTCTCACATACAGTGTCAGATATCTCCAATTAAAAGATCAAATTGCAAGTGATCGGAAAAGGACTCCTAATAGGCAGTCACTTGCACTGAGAAACTCAAAAATAAAATTAAAAAATGGTCTAGATGGACAATGAGTCTACGTTTGTAAGTTTCCTATGTTTAAAATGTTGAGTGAAGTTCAGTGTCCATAACCATTTTCAATATTCCTTTTATGATACTAGTAAGCAAGAAAGATCTGAATGCATAAAAAAATTCTGTAGGGTATTGTTTTTGTTTGCTTTTCCAAATATTTCTTTCTTATCCTTCAAGACTGAAAAAAACCCTCTATTGTTGGGCTTTCTCCCTTAACCAATTTTCAGTTCTGTAGTATCCATTGAAATTAATCATTCCAAGATGGATGTAAAATACAGTTGGGCATTTTTTTTCCCTTGGCTTCAGTTTCATAAGTCTTTTAACTACAGTATCTGCAAGGAATCCATGAGGGCAGACTGCTGAGATTCCTTCATAGAAGCATTATTAAACATCTAAATTAAATAGCATTTTAAAAGAACATTAACAATCTTTTAGAATAAGCCAACTTTCAAGGTAGCATACAGGTTGAAAGTCCCAGGTTTTACTGGTCAAGAATCAAACCCCATATAAATTCTATTTCTTAATGGGGCTCGGCAGAAGCTCCAGGAGCCGGCAGGGCTCCACCTGATTGGCTCCAGCTGATTGGCTCCAGAAGCAGCAGAGCTGGAGATGAACTGAAGGAAAAAAAGGGAGGAGAGGATATAAAAGGAGATGGTTTTGGCAGGAAAGGGAAAAAGACAATTGGGAAAGAAGGGGACAGAGAAGCTGTGAAAGGAGACCTTAGCAGGCAGGGAGGAAAAAGAGATAGGGAAGAAGCAGCAGCTGTTGTTGGAAGAAAAGGTCCCCTGGTTCATTTGCTCCAGCCAGGAGAATGCAATCAGCGCTGATGAAATGAAAAGCCGGGAGACGAGCATGTCGGAAAGGAGGTTGGTTTATTTAGTTCGGGATCAGCTGGCAGCTTGATTGGGTTACCATGAGGATTTTTGTGCAGTTTTTACAGCGTTTTGTAATTCAGAGGCTTGGTTTGTGTGCTTTGGTTACTGGAATATTTTAGACTGTTTCACAAAGGCTAGCAATGAATCCAAAGTGTTGACTTCCGTAGGTTTAATCCCTTTAAACAAATGTAATTAGTTTTACCCCCTTGAGTCTCTCTATGGCTTTTAGAAAGTTTTCTTTGAAGGTAAACAGGCTTAATTTAAGGCTAAAGCTTTTCGCAATTGCCGGAGCCTTTCCATCTCAGGTTGCAACATTGTGACACGTAACACACCTGAGGCAGCCTAAAGAGAAAAAAAATGGAGTTTATGTGTTTATTCTGGGAGGCTTTTGTGAGTCCCCGGAGCCTTCCTCCAAGCGGCCTGGGACGCAGGTTGCGGGAGGCTTCTGCATGCCTCCGGATGTTGGATCCAGCCCTTGGAGGACTGCTCTAAGCTGCTGCCGCTAAGAACAGAGCTTCCAAGGGCCTGATCCAAGCTGAGTCATGCAGAAGTCCCCCCCCCAACCTCCGTTCCTGGCGCAAGCAGCTAGGAAAATGCCTCCAAGGCGTGGAAAAGCCCTCCAGAGCCCGGATTGGACCTTGGGGGGGGTCACGGAAGCGTTCCCCGGCCTTAGATCCGAGCTGCAGCGGCCTGGAAAAGACCTTGGGAGCCCGGATCAGGCCGCAGGAAAGGAGCACGAAAGCCTCCCCCGGCCTCAGATCTGGGCTGCAGTGGCCTGCAAAAGGCCTCCAGAGCCCAGATCGGGCCACACGAGGTGCACGAAAGTCTCCCCTGGCCTTAGATCCGAGCGGCAGGGGCCCAGAAAAGGCCTCAGCAGCCCAGATCGGGCCACGCGGGATGCGCTGAAGCATTCCCTGGCCTCAAATCCGGGCAGCAGGAACCGCAGCAGAGAAGAGACGGATCTTTTCCAGGTAAATCCGGCGTGGCAGGAAGGGAGGGGGAAGCATGAGGTATCTTAGTGGGTTGGGGAAGCCTTGGGACCTGTTCCAGCACTAGGCCCTCCATGGCCTTCCTCACCCTGAGATACCTCATGTTTGCTAAACGTGCCGCATATGTTTTAACAAGCAATGGAGTGATCTCGTACCTCGAACGAGATTCACTCTACGAGTTTTCGATTCACGAGTGGAATGGGCAAGCTTAATTACACTTGTAACTCGAGGACTACCTGTACTTTTTTCCTTTTTTTCTACAGTTTGTAATATTTTATTGGATTATACAATAAAATACAAAAATACAAAAGCAAATAGTAGGACACAGTGGGGAGGAAAAAGGGGGGAAAAGTATAGGGGGGAAGGGAAAAAGAACAGACTTCCTCTGTTGCAGTAGAAGGAAGCATTATCATTGAACCTCAGCTTTTTACTTTTCCATAATATTATAAGCTAGTCATTTATATAACAACAAATGAATCTAATCAGTAAAACCCAAAATCCCCCCCTTTTTTTCTTAGTCATCAAGTTTTTGACACCTTGCTAAGCACTGATGGTACTCAAATATTGCCATGTGCTAAAAGTGGTACACTCTGTGAAAAGGTTGAAAACCCCTGGCTTAGAGCACTGACTGCAATGAGCATGGCAGGTTATTTTTTTAAAAAAATCCATGTAGCCTTTTATTACATTGACTGAAATGCCTTTTCTCTCCTGCAGATGGCAGCAGGATTTCAAATTCTGTGTCGATGGAAGTTCTGCTAATGAATGATTTTAAACTCATTGTCAATAATGCAGAATATAGTGTACATCCACCACTGAAAGGTACATAACGTCATGACCACTCTGAAATGGAATCTTTAGTGATTTATCAGGTTATTTAAAATTAAAATCCAGTGAAAGCTAAGTGTGTACATCTGCTTTGGAATTAATTCCACAAAGTTTAGTGGAAAAAACTAAAACTAAAGGAGCGCTGTGGCTTATGAGGTTAGAACGCTGGGCTGACAATTGGTGAGCTCATGTTTGAGACACATTGCTGCTGCAGAGCAGGGTGAGCCCTCGTCACACACTCCAGCTCCTGCTGACTCAGCAGTTCGAAAGCGGATGACCATGAGTAAATTAATGAGTACAGTTCAGTGGGCAACTTCACAGGGACACAAAAGGAGCCCCAAGTAGGGAGCCCTGGGCAATGTTGATATCACCAGAAAATCCTTTTTGCCAGGGAAGCACTTTTGTGCTTCCGACAAAAAGTGGGACTTTATTTGAAAGAGAAATTGCATAGTATACGAAGAGAGAAAGTTCCCTGCAGGCTTTTTGAGGATGCTTATAGTAATTGTAATAACTCAGGCTTCACTCTTTGTTTCAGATCAAATGAGCAAAGAGCATGCCACAGAGATAGATGACATCAAATCAACAATCCATAAGTTATTTGTAGCCCTTCACTTAGAAGAGCACCAGACAAGAAAAGAGAAAGAGTTAATGCAAAAAATGGAACTTTTGAAAGAAGAACTGTTCCCTTTAGAACAGGTTTGAAAAATTCTTAATAAATTCAGTCCTGTGGAAATTGATAATCAGCAAGTTAAATCTTGAATCTGTTCTATTTCATGAAAATCTAGATCTGAATAGCTGCATTTTTCTATGAGATCTACAGAGAATAACAATATTCTGTAACAGTGCTCGGAAGACTTCCAAGAGTAACTAAAAAAACAAAAAGATACATCACAGGTCATGTTCTGAAATGTCTTCCTTGAAAGTAGTAGCTATTGGTATTAGAACTGAATTTATATGTGAAGCTTTATGCTTAAGAAACTATTAGAATGTATTTGATGGAATCCAAATTCCATATGGGAGTATCAATTTGAATACTACAGTTCTAAATACAATTTGAGAGGAGCATAACTGAACACTTTGGAGTGTAACATAGCATTTTTGTTCCTAGATGAAGGCTAGAATTGCAGCAGATATTGATGCAAAGACTTCTCGCCTTTTATGGATTGGTTTAGCCTTAATGTCTACTCAGGGTGGAGCCCTGGCTTGGCTCACCTGGTGGGTCTACTCATGGGACATTATGGAACCTGTTACTTATTTTATCACTTACGGAAGTGCCATGGCATTCTATGCTTACTTTGCACTTACTAAGCAGGTAAGGAACTTGTTAAGGTAATACATACAAACAAAACTCAGTTCTGACTGCCTGAAATTTGAAGCATGCATGCACAAGGCTTTGAAGTACTATAAGGATCCTTAACTTTTACTCTGAGAGCACAGTTGAAACTTTTGTTTCAAAAGTTCTGCAAATTGTTCAGAGAGTTCAGTTGATCAGTAAAGACACAAATGCTTCAGATTCTGCAAGCCTGAAAGTTAACCTGCTATATATTATAATATAGCACCTACCCAAAGTAATGCAGTTTATGTACCTTGTGGATGCTGTGCGGGAATGTGTGATTATTCCCTTCAGTTCTTTTTAATTAGCAGTCTTTTTAATAATCTAAAGACATATCAACCCTTATTCAATTATCTGGGGACACTAATGCTTTAAAGAAAAATAGGTTGCATCAAAGTAAGGCCCTGGGATCACTGTTCTCATTCCCTTTCATGTAAAAATCACTTGAAGAATTTGTTTTGTGGTAATCATAATATGAGGCTATGTCAGCCTTACCATGTAGATCAGACAGGAAACACGACTAGATAAATTAATTCTACTTTATTGTAAAGCTATATTAACAGAATCTTGCAAATCTGCAGGTAAAATTTCCTGTCTCCTTTACAGCCTAATAAACTAGGGAGGGTCCCTTCTGAGCCTCTTCTAATGCTCATTGTCCAGCTGAGGGCTCTTCTCTCTCTTCTCTGACCATTCCCTGGGCAGCTTCTCTTCGCCCTGTCTCCTTCCTAAAATTTTGAGGGATTAGTATTTGAGATATTGTTGAAGCCTTTGCTACAAAACACTTTGTATAACCAAGCTTCTTTTGTTGAGTGCTATTAAAATTTGGTTTATTTAGTATATGATTGAAACCTAGTTTAATGAAATGTACAAATCCAGTTAATGCTCCACTTGTTTCATTTTAAAACAAGGATTGGGCTTGAAAATAGATATTGTATTCTGCAGACTTCTGGGTGTGAGCCAGGGGAGATTTCCTGTGTGGATTGATATTCAGGATTATTGAATTATTTTTTTCTTGTTTTTTTTCCTTGTCGTATTAAGGATTATATTTACCCAGAGGCTCGAGACAGGCAATTCCTTCACTATTTTCACCGCAAAGCTAAAAGCCAAAACTTCAATATGATTCTGTATAACAAACTAAAAGAGGACCTGGCAGAGGTAATTGCATAGATCTGTCTATCTCTCTCTCTATCTGATTTATATGGTCTTCCCACCCAACTTTGGATGGTTCACAACAACAGTAGGAGAGTACATGGTATTGAATGCACAAGAGATCACCGTATGTTTTGAAAGTCCGTATGTTTTGAAAGTCAATTAATTGCAACCACGACTGGCACTTTTACTCACTTTTCTTGTGTACAGAAAGCAGTTTAATCTTAACTTCTGAAAAATATGTTTTTAAATGCATGTTCATAGTCCTCCAGAGGAAAGGAAAGGAATCATGTTACATTGTGCGAGTTCTTCCAGTTCCATCTGTTATAGTAGCTGCAATTAGTGTGTTGAGGATGAAAATTTGACATCTTACAGATTATCTTTGTTGCCTGCAAAAGCTAATAGGTTAGCTTTGATAGATTTTAAACAAAGTAAACTGAACCTGCTAATTTACTCAGATATTCCAGTTGATGAAGAATGGCTTGAAGAGTATCCAATTATAACATTTGTTCACAAAAATTAGTTACTAAGCATAGAAATGGTAATCTAGCCAAAGTGTTAAGTCTATCTGCACAGACTAATTCAGCTGCTAATAACTGCAGTCAAAATACCTTTTTCAGGCAGAGAAAATACTATCCCATGCTACATAGCACATTCATCCTGTGTCAGGACCTATCAAACAAGTGTACATTTAATGCAAAATTAATTACAAATACACAGGTTCTCTTCTCTCAAGTGTATACATTCATTCAGTGTATATGCTAATATACTGTACTTTTGTATAATCGTTTTGTTATTTTTCTTCTTTACTTTTTTAAATATTTTGAAATAACTCTGCAACATTATGGTCTAGATCCTGCAGAGGTAATCTATAATCATGTATAACTAGCAAATTGCAAGCCCAATTCAACTTTCGCAGTTGATTACAATTCAACTAATTCTTTCCTATGTTTCTCCTTTAGTGAATAATTTATGGGATAGGTATCCTGGCTACATAGGTCCAGCATCCATAGATACAAAATAGAATGTATAGAAAAGTTAATTTCAGAGTATTTTGGTGCCTGATAGCTAAATCAGTTTCCTAATTTTAAAAGCTAAGTATAACTGAATCACATTTAAGAGATGTAAATTCAAGTTATTAGGGTGCCCTGGTTAGCAAAATACATAATTGAATAATGTAGAATTCGATGGAAGCTATTTACAACTATTTAAACCATAAACTCATCACCTTTTTTTTCCTTTTACACTGACAGGTGGAAGAATCCTTGAAACGACTGAGGAACCCTTTACAATTACGACTTCCAGTGCAAGAAATTAATGGCAAACATTAATTTTGTTTAAGCTTCAGCCTGTTGGGTTCCCTCAAAAAAATCACAAACTGGACATTTTGACCCACTATATTAAAGTTGAACATACAAATCTTTATTTAAAAAGTCCCAAATCATACTTTTTGTATATATCATTTCTCCACAATATTCAAGTTTAGAAGGAACAACCGTCTTAACCTTGGATGGCCAATCCATTCGTAAGAAAACAAAACAATGTTTTTAAAGGATGGTTATTATTCTGGGATGCCTATATTTGAATGTAATTTTCATAATGAGCTAAATAAAAACAGATACTAGTTTTGGATGTCTTCCGAGTCTTCTGTTTAGGATGTTAAGACAATGTTCCTTGCACGCTTGGACAAAATATCTCAATATCTGTAATGAGTTACGTATGTAGCATGCACAGCACCTGAAAGATTTATAACAGCAGGTTTCATAGACACACATTAACTTTTATTAAATAATAATAAGGCTGGTTTGTATGGAAAATAATGCAAATGTTTCAGCTAAGTTGCAGTAACTCCACAAGTTATGAGGAGCTGCTATAACTAACTGAAGGAATCACAATTTTATATTGGTTGCATAATTCACTTTTCCAAAATGTTAAAGTGAGGGGGGAACAATTCACGCAGTAGAAAGAGATTAAGAAAATGATTCTCATAAGACAATTACTGTGTTAAAACAAAGGTATAAAAATGTAGCCATTCGTACAAAATATCCATTATTAAAATCCATTATGGAATGTAAACCTAAAGACAGCTAACTTTTGATTAACTATTCCTTTATTATCCCAATGTCAAGCCTGAACTTATTTTTCAAACTCCCTGAGGGTAAGCAGAATATTTCAAAGGCTGTATAAAAGTATTTCTGCCTGAGTTGTTAAACTTCACAGTTTTTTTTTCAATTTGTAATGTAGAATTTGTATTTCTGTTTGCCATTTAGAACCTGCAATTATTGGCTGTGATTTTATTGCACAGATCTGTTCATCTAACCATTTTAATTCACCATCTCCTGAAGTTCTCAGTTTAGGTAAAGTAATAGACTCTATACTAACTAAACATACATTTTAAATTATCAGTGCAATTCTATATGTCTATTCAGAACCAAGTCTCATTGAGTCTAATGGAGCAAATTTTCAGATAAGTAAATATAAAATTGATCTATTTCAACAGTACTGTATGATTTGCTTTGAGTCCTGCAGACTACACCACCACCACCCACCACCTCCGCACCCAAAAATAATATTTACTTGACCGTGCTATGATGATTTGGGGCAGAAATACAGTTTTTTAGTTAACATTGAAGCAAAGCAAGGGATCTGCTTTTTCCCTATAGCCTGAATATCTTTGCACACATCTACCCTGCGATGTGATACCTTCCTGTTAACAAGCATCAGCAATTCTGTGAATTCCAGGGAACCACCATACTTTCGTATCATCTCGCACAGATCTTGAATATACCAAGAACCATATACAGTCTCCCGATGAGAGTAGAAACCTATTGGGAAAGGGGGAGAAAGGATTAAATTACTGTGTCAAGAAATTAGCTTTAGTTTTTTTTATCTAAATTTACTAAGTAAGCAAAAAAATATTGGGAAAAAAGGTTGATTTTTTTTTCTTGAGCTTTTTTTAATGTGCCAGTTTTCTGAAATTTTTCTTACATTTATAGTATCTTTGCTTGGCAAAAATAATTTTAGGGGATTTTTATCTATCCCCAAATCATCTAACTCTCTCCTTTTATTAACTATCTGTTTGTACAGGTAGTCTTCGACTTACAATCAGAATTGAGCCCAAAATTTCTGTTGCTAAGTGAGACATTTGTTAAGTGAGTTTTGCCCCATTTTACGACCTTTCTTGCCACAGTTAAGTGAATTGCTGCAGTTAAGTTAATTGATTTTACTTGTCGGAAGGTCGCAAAAGGTGATCACGTGACCCTGGGATACTACAACTATCATGAGTCAGTTGCCGAGCATCTGAATTTTGATCACATGACCATAGGGATGCTGCAATGTTTGTGTGAAAAACAGCCATAAGTCACTTTTTTCAATGCCACTGTAACTTCAAACGGTCACTAAATGAACCGTTGTAAGTCGAGGAATACCTGTATAGATAATACTAGCTGATCCAGTTCTGCTATATTTTACTAATAGATATTGCATGTAAAGAAGTCCAATTATCTTAATGGTGGCCTTTGTCGAGCTGAGCAGGGAAGCTGATTAAGGGCCATAGGAGAAAGTGTTCTCAATGACATTCTCTAAAGTGAATTTAAAAAGCAATGGGAGATGAAGACTCCTTACTGTAGCTGCATTCATTTGAGCAGTGCCAAGCCACGAACTAGTAACACCATTTTAGCCTATTTTGATCTGCAGCCCCAGTTAGTATAAGCCAGTGGTGGCGAACCTATGGCACGCGTGCCAGAGGCGGCACTCGGAGCCCTCTCTGTGGGCACACGCACCGTCGCCCCAGCCCCGCCTCCTTCCACGGCCCCTCCTCACCAGCAGCCCCCCCGGAGGAAAGTCGCCCCCGGACACAGCCCACATGGAGCACTGCAGCCAAGGACATGGTAGCCGGGAAGTGGGGACAAGACTCCACCCTTGTGCCCCATCACACGCAGATGATCCTGCGGGGCACGGGCAGAGGGCGTGGTCATGTCACTGCTGGGCTGCCTGGGTAATCTGTGGCAGGCCGTGGAGGTGGTGGGTGGCCCAGCGGGCACAGCAGAGGGGGGATAGGGTGGCGGGGTGGTTTTTGGGCACTCGGTCTCTAAAACATTCGCCATCACTGGTATAAGCCATTCATGAATTTGTCACCTAAATATCATAATCAAAGTTCTGCACTCATTGCACGCATCTGCAACAAGAAAGTATTAGGAAGCTGGGTCTTCATACTGCATGAAAACCTTACATTACAGCTATACTGCATTATTTGGTTGTTAGCCCCCTAGAATTGTGGGCGTATAAATTTAATAAAAATAAAAATAAATCCCTAAAGATTTGTTTCTTGATTTAGTTTGCTATTTAGGCAAGGATAGTTAATATGTGCTCTGCTGTGATGGAAATTTTGATAACTGACACCACGCTGGTGGGAAAGAAGTGCCAGATGTGATTTACACATTAATGATAAGTTCCTCACCACTTCTTGCAGATTCAATTTCTATCTGCCATTTTTTATTTACTGATTAGTTTTGAGAAGGAGCCACCTCTTTGGTTTGTTTTTTATTAGCTTTTGGAGGATTTTAGTAAATATAAAAAAACTTGATTGTCAGTATCTATTCAATGTATAGCACAAATAACCAATAAATGATACATCAAAGCAAATTTTCTTTAAGAAACTATTACTCGCTTGATGATGAGGTTTGTTCTGTCCCCCGTCCGACCCACACCCCCCAACCAGGCAGCCGAGGCCTGAAAAACTGCTCGGCACAAAGGCAAATGAATTCCTTGGCAGCAACTGCGTAGCTGCCTGCCAAGCCTTTACTGATAACACACCGCAAACAAAGATAATTCCACAATGACTTGCCAGAGAGCGTGCGACCGAATATCCATCAAAAATTGTCTCAGTGCTTTGAAGTGTACGGTGTGGGGAACGAATATATCGGTCACCCCACACCGGGTCACTGAGTCGACTTAATAGACCGTGCTGCACAGGCGACGACGCGTGCGAAGAGAAAGGCTGCGACCGCACCTAGCAGCCAAGACGTATCCTCGTTGGAGTCCGATACACCTGGCTCCTGGCTGATCCCAGAAGCACCTGGCTTCTGGCCAATCCCAGAAGCACCGGGCTCCTGGCCAATCCCAGAAACACCGGGCTCCTGGCCAATCTCAGAAACACCGGGCTCCTGGCCAAACTCCTCGCTGTCGGAAAGCACCGAAGGCTGCACCAGAGGGGAAGGGCCGGGAGAGAGAGGCCTAGCCATCTCCTCTCCGTCATGTTCAGAGCCTTCCTCCTCTGATGAGAGGGACCCACCGGACGGAGCCACAACAAGGTTAAACATTTTTTTTTCTAGGATAACATTGATTTTTACCTTCTGCCACAGAATAACACATGAGGAAATCAGCACCAGCAGGTAAAGTATAAACTGCAGCAGCATCAAATGTAGTTTCATTATCGAGTGAGCGATCTGTAACACTATCCACTGTATCATGAGCCAAGACTGGATCATCATGCTTATCTCCTCTGCATGCCTAAAATTTGAGATGTTGGAAATGAAATCCAGGATCTGAAATCACTTATAAATACCAACCCTCCGTTGTAGATCCAGAAAAGTTCACTTAAATGATTGAACAAATAAATGCCTTCAATTATGCACTGCTATAGATACCAGTGATGTTTTGAATTTTCTTTAAGGTGAAGTCTATTCTTACACAAGGACCCTTGTGTAACGAACAAAATCTAAGGTGATTCTTCTTCCACCCACCCATTTTCCCACTACAAATTGCCAGTCATGGACACATTAAAAATGTATGAAACTTCCATTTTGGAGAACCTTCAATCCAAGGTGTTCACATCTATACACCTTCATATGGTACAAAACTGATTTACGTGGTTTAGACTGTGAAGTTCAAACGTAAATTTTCACTATGGAAATTATATACCGTCAGAATTAAAGAAAGAAAGTTATTTTACTTAAAATTATGGTATAATACTTGAGTGCTGTGGATTCAAAAACTCCGCCATCTCACCTGAATTATGAATATTTTTGGCTTCCCTATCAGGCCAGGGCATTTATCACCTCTGAACATATTGGTCAGCATTTGTATCTGTATTTTAGCATCATAAGCATAAACATGGTTATCTTCTCCATGGCTCAGGAAAACACACATAAAGCAGTCTGCATCTTCATGTTGATCTGTGGACACTACAAAAAATAATGATGCAATTTATCTACACACACAGGTTATTTTTTTATATTAGTGGCTATTAAAATAGTAAAGTATAAACTTCCTTTGGCTTACTTTGGACATAAATCAATCCAGTTTTCCCACATGCTAAGCAAATAGTTAATTTTATTCAGAGCTGGATTTAGAAATTGAAAAATCAATTGGTACTCCATTATTCCTCAGTGCCTACTACATCATTTAAACCATCTCATCAGATACCATAATTGCTTACTTTTGAGACTTTACGCAGGGGTAGTCAACCTTGGCTCTTTTATGACTTGTGGACTTCAATTCCCAGAATTCCTGAGCCAGCTTAGCTGGCTCAGGAATTCTGGGAGTTGAAGTCCACAAGTCATAAAAGAGCCGAGGTTGACTACCCCTGCCTTACAGCCTCCTGTGCTCTTTCTGCTTCCTTTTACGTAGCAGATAGCAGCAAAGACATCTTAAAAGCTTATATTCCACCTTATTTCCTAAAAATTAGAGAGGTGCAAAATTCACCAAATGGGAAATGAAACCTTTCAGAAAACCAATTTGCTGAATTTCCCCCTAACCTTGTTGTTTTGGGCCAGTTTCCTGAAGTAAATCCTCTGAACTGGTGATGATCTAGATCAGGGGTAGGCAACTTTGGTTCTTTTATGACTCATGGACTTCAACTCCCAGAATTCCTGAGCCAGCATGGCTAGCTCAGGAATTCTGGGAGCTGAAGTTCATGAGTCATAAAAGAACCAAGGTTGCCTACCCCTGATCTAGAGTGATCCAGTTCCAACCAGGCCTGTTTCACTTGAAATGAAATGACTGAAACAGTTCAAATGATTTCCAATTCGACAGAATTTACTTCCATAACCCACAGAAGTATTGGAATAGCATAATCTGGAGAAGGTTCAGGATGATTTGGAAGAACAAAATGCTCTCGAATTTTCCAGAACATTCTGTTTCTCAACTGGTGAATTTTGCAAACCCTACTAAATTCGTCATAAAATTAAAATGTTTATTAATTTTTAGTTTTAAAAATGAAAAAACATTACAGTGTAAAAACAAAAGAATTTTTTAAAAAAACTTAAAAGGTTGAGAAACTTCGGCTTATCAGCACAAACATATAATTCAGCAATTAATAACAAACATGATAGGAGGAATATGAATAGCTTAAGAGGTCAGGCCTGAGAGGAAAAAACAAAAAGTATCCAGCTCTTTCTCTCTGGTTGGCTCTCCTAAAGTTCAATAAATTATATCTTCACTAGCAATAATTATTTTCTTCACTAGTAACTTTGATATTAAGAATTTTACCAATAAAATACAACCAATAGCCAAGCATCTACAGGCAAATAAACTTACTTTACCTACCATCATGAATATTATGCAGCACTTCTTCTGCTCTAAGGTCATTGAAACATTGCACTTCAAATCCAAGTTCAGTCAAACTATTTTAAACAGAACATTATTTCACTCTAGAATCATATTCATATATTCTTATTAACTCACATATTAATATTTAGACCTCTGAGAGGATGCAACATTATCTAACCAGCCAGCTTTAGAAATTCACTGAAACACCACTTACCACATTATTATGCTATGAGTACTCCAGAAAAAAGAAGAATCTACCTTTTCAGTCCACAGAAACAGATTGAGTTCCAAATTAAAATATAAATGTAACTAAAATACACTCAACCATATTAAGAACAGATAAAATACTTAGTATCAGTAATTTTCTACCTGTAACCTTAAAAAACAAACAAAAAACTTTTAAAATTTGTACTTTTTGACATTAGTAAGTACAGTTAGGATTAGAAAAATTCCTTGAGAAAAGAATTCTGCAAGTAGTTTCTTTCATTGCCTTATCCACCGACCTTATATCTCAGCATGTGAGCTTCTGAAACATTGGCCAGGAATATTTAAAGACGTGATCTTTCAGACAATCTATGCCCATGTCCTTTTATAGATTTATAAATTATATAATCAGTACTGAAATTGCACAGCTAATTATGGCAACTATTCACATGTTCTAACCCAGGGGTGTCAAACTGCCGGCCCGCAGGCCAGACACGTCATGCGGAAGCCGCGCCCACCCCATTGCCAGCAATGGCAAAATGTTGTGTGACGTCATGTGAAGTCACAAGTTTGACATGTCTATTCTAACCTAAAGAGCATTCATGTAGATATTTAGCATCAGCCTATGATACTGTAGATCAGAGTTATGTTTGAGAAAACCCTGGGATTCCTTCAACGTTTTCTAGTAACCCTACACTGCAAAAACCATTCTTTATCATAAAGACATATTATTTCTGCCCCATTCCCTTTCCCATGCACCATCATCCTTGGAATGTGAAGTCACAGAAAGGAAGTTGGACATGTTCCATAGGCCATTCTCAATTTATATAATATATTGTCATAACCCTGAGTGGGATTCCAAGTTAAAAAAAAAGCACAGCTGAGTTGTGTCAGACATGCGAGATGGGGTTGATTCTGCAGATGAAAAGTCTGAAACAAACTCTAACCATCGTGAGTACCAGAACTGATCTGAGCTCAAAGCTGTTCCATTTTGGGGACCGTTTTCCCGTTTTCCTCCAAACAGTGTATGAATGAAAGAGAATATAGTGAAAGTATTTTTTTTAATGGTGCTGTCTTAAAAAGGTCTAGATTTCAACTCCCAAAATTCCTCAGATACTGTGTTAGCTGGGGAATTCTGGGTGTTGAAATTCACACATTTTAAAGTTACCATGTTTGAGAAACATTGTACTAAAATAAAGAGGTAGTTCTCAACTTACAACCAAATCTGAGCCCAAAATTTCCACTGCTAAGCAAGATAGTTATTAAGCAAGTTTTGCCCCAAGTCTTATGACCTTTCTTGTCACAGTTGTTAAGTGAATCGGTGCACTCTTAAGTTAGTAAGACGGTTGGTAAGTGAATCTGGCTTCCCTTTGCTTGTCAGAAGGTCGCAGAAGGTGATCACGTGACCCTGGGATACTGCCAAGCATCCGAATTTTGATTGCATGACCATGGGGATGCAGCAATGGTCATAAATGTGAACCATGGTCATAAGTCACTTTTTTCAGTGGCTGTTGTAACTTCGAATAGTCACTAAACAAATGGTTGTAAGTTGAGGGCTAGCTGTACAGATGAGGCTTTTCTGTCTGATCTTGCTTTGTGGTGGAGAATGTCAACTTCGGTTTAGTATTGCCTTTTATTTGGATAAATATATTAATTCAAGCAGCAGAAGTCATTTAGCTGGTAATTGAAGGGACGGGACTTAATTTATTGATAACTGAGAGTTATCATTGCAAATCAGCCAAAGAACAACTATTAGATCCTGATTCATGTTAAATCCATTCCTACTGTAAAACTTTCAAAATTCTTTACCTATATCCTAAAGATCTGACAATTTGCATTACCTCATGGAATACTTTCTCCCTTGACACACAATTTCTTAAAAAATGGAAGTAGTTTTGGAAATGTCTTTGGATTTTTCTGCTTCGGTGTAAAAGAAAATACGCTGAACAACGATTGCTTTACCTGCGGTTCAGATTATCTCGGTCAGCACAAGTACCACGTCTCTCTGGTAATGCTAAGTGCCAGAAAAACCTCTCATGATTGAAAATCAAAGCAACTCCTCTTCTCTTGTGTTTCATTTTGTATTCCACAGATGGATCAAAGAGCTGGCTGATCCTGCAAAAAAAAAAAAAAAGGTAGCCCAGTTAATAAACGTAGGTCTTTCTCATTCATATAAACCCATCTGTATATTTAAGCAAGTCAGTAGTTAGATTCAAAGAACTGTACAATTAGTGCAAATCTTAAATAATTTAATTTGATTTGATTTACAAGAAGTGTAACCTTTATCATTATAGGTACATTTTTGGTATTTACCTACATACATGCCAATCATACTATTCCCATTTAGGATAAGCAGCATTATACAGAGTACAAAAAGGCAAAAGGAATATTAAACCAAAGAAATTAAAGACATAAAACAAAAAGTACTGTAGTTAAAACTACACTATATCAGCACCATTCATTATAATTCCACACCTTTCTGTCCTTGGGAACTATGCTTCTTTCCACCATGTTCATACTTTGTTCTTTAACTTTGCCAGTTGCTTCTTTTTAGGATTTTTACTCCATGCAACCATGGCTTTCTTAGTCTTCCTCTTCATGATTTCCTTCATATATTTCTTTAGTGATTTGATTCTGGTTCATTTTCTTCATGTAGTCAAATATTTTAAATGTACTTTCAGAAGGGCCCTTAGTTTTGTACTCTATCCATATTCATTTATTGAGTAGGTGGCCCAAAGGCATCTATCAAGTTTCCAGGGTTAAGGATGGATTTGAATATTAGTCTCTATGATCTTGGTCTAATACTTTACCCTAGAGTTCCTCAACCTTTTAAGGGTTGGCAGCCCGGAGCAGGGGGGGAGGGAGAAAGAAAGGATGGTTTTGTGGGGGGGTGTAAACAAATGCATGCGTGTGTACACGTGCAAGAACATCCGTTGCTCACGTGAGTGGGACCGTGAGCACTCGCGCGAGTGGGGCTGCGAGCACCCGCAATGCTCACAGTGACAGGAGTGCTCGTGTGAGTGGGGCTGTGAACACCCCCAACACTCACGGCACACATTGACCAGCCACTCATGGGGCCCAGTGGTACTGGGCCATGGCACACAAGTTGGGGACCCATGCCTTAACAGTACCTCATATTGTCTCTTTTCCTGTCCTTACCTGGCAATGAATAACAGATAATCTTCTTACTCTGAAGATTTACATGTTTTTTATTATTTTTATTGAATAATGCACAAATTCTATTTTGTCTGACTTGTTTATTGCTCACTGGTATTAATCACTATTATTTTTCTGTTGTATTTAATATGTAAATAAAACTACATACATAATTATAAGAAAAGGTGATAAGGTTATAAGAAAAAGGTTATCAGAAAAAAACCCTGCAAAATCTCCTGACTTGGAAAAGATTACCTTTCACCAAAGGCATCTGTTTCAGTGAGGTTTTGCTGCTCATCTGTAAATAGAAAACAATTTAAACATAAATAAATCAAAATAATTTAGGTTCTACATGATAAAAAAATGTGCAAGTATAACAATATATTTACATTTTTGCCCTATTTTTAAAATATATTTTAAAGATGTTTTCACTGCAAAAGCATATTTTCTTAGGGGAATGTATTTTATGGAAATCCATAAAAAATGTAAGTAATCAAAAAAAAAAAAGACAAATTAAAAAAGTTGTACTTAATTTACTTTAAAATAAGCAAGCTAATTTTACATAACGAGGAACAAAAGTTGTAGTCCTTCTTCCATCCGGACATACAATTAAATAACTCAATTAATCCACAGAAACTAGACTGGACCCCAAATAGCCTTGTTTGAGATTAAACTAATCACTCTTCTAGTCCACTAATTCCTGTTGGTATGTAAACTCCGTTGAACGTTAACAGCCTCTCTCAATATCAATTACTGAAGCAAAGAAAGAGAAAGAAATTCTAGGCCAGTGGTGGCGAACCTATGGCACGCGTGCCAGAGGCGGCACTCAAAGCCTTCTCTGTGGGCACGCACGTTGCCATTGCCAGCAGCTTGCGCAGGTCCATTAGGCCGCTGCCACCTGGAGCGGCAGCCCCACCCAACACAAAGGAGGGGAAGCAGCCAGCTAGCAAGCTCGAGTAGAGTTGGTAGAGCACGCCCACACCCAGCAAGCCAAAGACCACCCCGAGAAGGAAAAGCCGAATCCCTATCAGCACCATGACCCCCCAGTTCCAGCTAGGATTGTATGCCTCCCCCCATCTATGTTGGGCCTCCTGCCCACCTCCCCATCTGCCAGACATCCCCTGGATCTCCCCCAACCTTGCCCGGCTCCCATAGGCATCCCCCCCCATGAGCAACATCGAGGTGGCTATGCCCACCCTAACCATGCCCACCCAGTCTGCCGTGACAACTGGAACCATGACCACCCAGTGGCCCACGCCCCCATGCCCCCCCCGAGGGCACCACAATGCTGATGATAAATGCTTATTTATCACTTTGTGATAAATAAATGGGTTTTGGGTTGTGGTTTAGGCACTCGGTCTCTAAAAGGTTCGCCATCACTGTTCTACGCCAGTTCTAGGCCTTTTGTTTTTCATCTCAGAGTCATATGGGAGGCGGGAAAGAGACAGAAATGAGACACTTATGTGGATGTACCCACAATTCTGGCTCTAGTGGTGTCAACTAAAATTGTGCCAATGTGGACTTTTAATTATTTGTTCCCTCTAAGAAAAAAAGAAATTAAAAGAATTTAATTAAAATGAAAAGAAATTTCAGAGAGAAATTTCAGCTACCACCATTTCAGCTGTGAATATCTGGGAGGACCAAAAACATGACCAGTGGTCAACCAATCTTTCCAGATGCTAATTTTTGTGCGTTGCTGGGCCACACAATTAGCGAATTCAAAGGATCACCATGTCATGTAAACATAAGCATTCCTCATAATGACGGGATGGTTTCAAACTCTTGCTTTTTCCCCTATTATGTTGCCATTTACAAAGATTTAAGTGTCAATTATATTTTGAAAAAATGCTGAGTACCTTACCTTTGCACTGTAGTATGTTCTTGCTATCCACGTGGATTTCTTCTACAGTAGAAAACAATAGAATGAGTATCTTTCTTGACAGAAAGAAATGTTCTGTCAATATTAATTAATTTAAGATGTTATTACAAGCATAAATTATTTGATTTTTTCATCCAAAGTTGAACATAACATTAGAAAAAACAACTCAGATTGCATCAGAGAAGTATATGATACACAATAAAGATTTCAATTCTGAGCTGATTACTTATATGTTGAAGTCTGTTATATAGTTGCTTTATCCATCCATGCATGCATATATACATACATACATATATATGTGTGTGTGTGTATGTGTGTAAGTATATATGGGAAGGACAGAAAAAGGAATAATGGGAGGAAAGAAAGCTGTAAAACTGGAATGCAAACGAGGGGAGGCCCTTGTTAACTCCGTTAATGGCGGCCAATCCTGTCTGTCGGGATAATGTGCAAGTTACCCGTCTTATGACTCAGTCGTTCCAAATATTCTTTTGAGGAGTGGGGGATTGTCAGTGAGACTACTGTGACCGTTACCTGGTCGTTTTCGATTCCAATAAAAATCATAACATTTATCACAAAAATAAAAAAATGATCGACATTCCGGCCACGTGTTGCTGTGGCTCAGTCTGGTTAAATGGAAAAGAAAGAAAAGAGAAAGCGCACGTTTCTAATATGTTTAATTTCACAATGCTTGTGGGTATACAATATTTTTTGTTGTTCCATTCATAAATCGGAAACATTGAAATGGAATTGTAAAATCGTAGCGTGTGTTGCTTTTACGTCCAACAGATGGCGCTGTTTTTCAAAAAAAAGCATGTTTTACCTGTCACAGGTGTGACATCTATATAATAGTAGGTATATAAAAACACGTGCGTATTCGAATGCAACGTTGTGTCAAAATTTCAAAGCAATCGGTGAAGAACTTTCAGAGATTTAAGATTTTGAACAAACAAACATTTACATTTTTATTTATATAGATTTTTAACAATAAACAGCTGGTTTTATATATATAAACCCATAAACCAGACCAAACCCTGCGTGCTAAGGTAATGCATCCCAAAGAGCCTCTCCCCAATGAAGAAAGATCCTCAGTGGTATATAGAATAAAATGCGAGAATTGCCACTGCAGTTGTGTTGGGAATACGACCAAATGGCTCAGGACCAGGATTCACGAGCATGAGTTGGCCATCAGACGGCAGGAACAACGTTCACAAGTATGAGCACATATGGCCAGCTGCAACCGTACATTCGACCTTGTGGGGACGGAGACCATTGCCCAGGATACCACCAAGGGCAACCGACTACTTAAGGAGGCCTGGCTATCTGACGGACACTCAATCAATCGCCACACAGACCTACTGCCTGCTTATCAGGCATTAAGGGAGTGGGAGGAACAACGTAACAACTTGCGATGAAGGCAACGAGCGCCAGCCATGCAGGATTGGAACGGCTGGCCCATGCGACAAAGAACTACAACTGCCGAAAGGAAGGAATCTCCAGTGCATCCTGTGAAAGAACTAAGGAGGGGGGCCAGGGCACAGCCAAAAGGTGGGGTGCCCATAGGACAGGAAGCATTAGGGAACCAACCCACAGCAACAGGCACTTGGACACAAACCAGGCAGACAAAGAGAGCAACCATAAGGGAGGAAATGATCCCTGAGTTTAAGAACACTCAGACTGATGCGGGATAGCTAGAAACAATACGGCCAATTGGGGCGGGCAGACTGGTAACTCGCTCCATGAGCAGAATGCAAAAACAGCTGGCTTTATAAGCAAGCTCCCAAAACACCTGGCATTTTACTCTGACGACGTTGGCAGTTAGCCGATGAAAGCTAAGTGTATTAAAATAGTTTTGTTTGTATTTTATCCTGGTGTATTTTATCCTGGTGTTCGATTATCTTCTTGAATATATATATATTCAAGACGACTTCTCTTTCCCATATTTGGGCCGACAGGGTGCTCTAAAAAAAGAAAAAAGCATTCATCCTCTTCCCCTGTCTCTTGTAGCTAACAAAGTGAGAAAGAGCCTGTGGCCTAGTGGCTAACATCTCTGCTTAACATGCAGACAGCCCAGGTTCGAATCTCAGAAGGGTATGTCTGGCTGATGAGAACCAAATAAGGTTTGAAATAGCTATCCCAGTACTCCCTTAATTCTTTGTTAGCAATTCAAATTTTGGAAAACATGTATATATATATGTTAAAAGATGTACAACGACAGTAGATGTAGGTCTTTGGTTATATGTTATATGTAGGTCTTTGGTTATTCGGGTTTTCTCCCGTGTAAAATTGGAAGTGTCTTGGCGACGTTTCGACAAAGTCAAGACACTTCCAATTTTACGCGGGAGAAAACCCGAATAACCAAAGACCTACATACAAACACCCACGAAAACCTCAGAAAACATACATATATATATATATATGTGTGTGTGTATATATATATATATATGTATATATATGTATATTTATGCATGTATGTACTGTATGTATATGCATATGTATGTGCGTGGGTGCACACACACACACATAAAACAACTACACATTATATATACATACATACATACATACATATTAAAAACAATAAAGCTACTGAAATCCAGGATACAAAAGAACCTTTTTAATCACTGAGCTTTCGTCAATCTCCTGTTGACATCATCAAAGTAAGGGTTAAAGGTTGAAAGAAACTACATATATGCCTATATGGCCGTTTAACGGTCGGGCCATAGAGCCCCCCCGCTCTCCCGTATTCATACACACATACACACACACACACATATACATACATACATACATACATACATATATATATATATATGTTGGAATATAGCATAAGTCACTCCATCTTGTAACCTTCAGCAAGCTTAATCCTATACTAATTGTGCCTACGTGTTAGGTTGCAATCTGCAACTGCATATGCGTAAGGTAGTGAAGGACAGAGAACAAAGGGACATGTCAAGAAAGCTGTTTATGCAAGTTGTAATATTGTCACTTCCTGATAAGACCTTCCAATATGAACAACAATGGCAACTTTTACTGTGAACCGTTAGCAGAATATGCCATGTATTAGATAAGATACATTTTGTAAAACCTTCGCTGTCTCTAACCTCCTAAACTCCCACTGTTGTAACCCTCACCCCCCCCTTGCCTGCAAAAGCCTTCTGCCTGCAATTTGCTTTGATGTATGCTAATAAAGGGGAGCCAGGGAGAGAGACTTTCACTTTGCTTCTTTGGATTTCTTCTCTCTCGACTCTCATTCCGAGGCAGCTTTGTGTCTGTCTTTTTTCTTTTACCATGAGAGTCAGTCACATATATATACACAAAGACCTACATATATACACATATTTATTTATTTATTTATTTATTTATTTATTTATTATTCGAATTTATATCCCGCCCTTCTCCTTGCGGACTCAGGGCGGCTGACAATCAATTAAAAACACCAATAACAATCACAGAATTAAAATTAATTAAAATGAAATATTTAAATTGTCGGATTAAAATATGATTAAAAACCCCTCTAAAAACCCCTCTTAAAAATTGCCCTAGG